TGTTGTGATCTTCATGGACAAGCTGCAAACCTCGCCTAAGATGACATCATAAGGCATTGTTTTGCTTTTTTAAAAATTTTTATCCTGGTGATTATTGAACGATATTCCAGTTGAAACAGATATATTGAAGTTCTACTAATTTTACAATTCTAATCTGAATGATATGATAGTATTCATGTCCACAGTGACTCTGATCAGTGTTAAACGACCATGAAGATTCAGAGATCATTACAGCAGAAGTGAAATATTATATTAGCGTGTACAGTATATGACAACTAGCCAAAACTCGACCAGCCTCTCTCATGGCCACATGCTGCCCCCCCCCCCCACCCACACACCCCTTCATCTGAGTGAAGTGGCTGAACCTTTCTTGTCTGTGCTGTGAATAGGAATTGCGCATTTATCATCCACATCATGAACCATGTGAGGAAGCGAGCAGCTCAATGCTGAGATTGGAGCTTGTGTGTGCGTGTGTGTGTGTGTGTGTGTGTGTGTGAGGGAAAGAGTGGGGGGTATGAGGCACCAAGGCAAAAAAGAGAGATACTATGCCACCATTCAACTTGGGGCCTTTTTTTTTTTCAAGTGCCCGTCGGTTGCATTTGTCACGTCCTCCTTTCATGTCACCACTCGCCACCTGCTCCTGAAATTCCTGAACATTTTCTGAAACCTTCCAGCGTCCTGCTTCATTTTCTCGGCCTCCCTCCCTTTCGCTGGCCCCATCCACTCTGTTCCACAACTGAAAGGAAACCAAAGAAACATTGCTCCTCTAACTCTCTTTCACAGACTCGGCCCTCTGTCTTACACCCCCCAAGTTCATGTTCTTCTGTTCTGCATTTGGAATTAGTCTCTCCCTCGCTCACACACACAATAACTGAGAAACATGACAAATGAGAGAGACACCTGACTCTACAGCCATAATATCTGAGCAGAATAAACGAAATGTTAAGGGGAGAGTTCGCTTTCTGTCGTTGTTCCAGACCTGTGCGACCCTTCAGAAAAATGATACAATCAATGTCATTTCAATCTCAAAACACACTCGTTCATAATAAGGTTTGGAATGATGACAGAATTATGACTATTTCTTAAACCTTTATTTTTAAAGCAGGTGTGGACATTTGTTCTTAAACGTGTGAGGCTTCCGGTGTCATTCTTAACAGTACAAAATAGCTTTTTATCCTGCTTGATATTACAAACTGGCATTTCTTATCATATTATTAGAATGCGTTGTCATTATTATAAACACACTGGTTTGTAGCGCAAATAGTTTACCCGTTTACTGCACTTACCATTTAAAGTTATTTACATCTAAAATAGCTTCAGCGTTGCAAACTTAAGTGGATAGTGGCACCAAAAGTTTGTGGAAAAGAGGTCACTCTTTATAAAATTATAAATGTGGATATTTCCTTTACAAAAACCCATGGCTTCGCTTCAGTTTACTTTTAAAAAAAACTTTTGCTGATAATTTACTCACCTTCATGTCATCCAAGTTGTCCACGTCTTTCTTTCTTCAGTCGAAAAGAAATTAAGGTTTTTGATGAAAACATTCTGGAATTTTTCTCCATATAATGGACTTCAATGGGAACCAAATGGTTCAAGGTCCAAATGAGAGTTTCAGTGCAAACTGCAAACTGTTCAAAGGGCTTTAAACGACACCAGACGATGAATAAGGGTCTTATCAAGTGAAACGATCGCTTGTTAAAAAAAATATATATATATAAGTTCAAATGCTCGCCTTGCTTTGTTCTGAGTGACTCGCCTGTTCAAACTCGGTCATCAAAATGAACAAATCTTTTTTCGAGTCATATCGTTTATCAAAATGAACGCCTCTTTTTCCGAGTCAATTTATTAATTCCATTCGTTGAATGAATGATATGACTCGAAAAAAGATTTGTTCATTTTGATGACCGAGTTTGAACAGGAGAGTCACAAACGCGCATCACAGAACAGAGCAAGGCGAGCATTTGAGCTTGTAAAACTTTTTTTTTTTTTTTTTTTTTTTTTTTTTACAAGCGGTCGTTTCACTTGATAAGACCCTCATTCATCGTCTGGAATCGTTTAAAGCCCTTTGAACAGTTTGCACTGTTTGGTTCCCATTGAAGTCCATTATGTGGAGAAATCTCCTGGAATGTTTTCATCAAAAACCTTAATTTCTTTTCGACTGAAGAAAGAAAGACATGGACATCTTGTATAACATGGGGGTGAGTAAATTATCAGCAAACATTTATTTATTTATTTTTTTTTAAGTGAACTACTCCTTTAACCCCCTGGAGCCATATGGATCACTTTTATGATGGATGGGTGCGTTTTTTTTTTGTTTTGTTTTTTTGCTTCAAAATCTACCATTCACTCCCATTACAAAGCTTCGAAGAGCCTGTAAATGTTTTAATATGCTACCTCAGATTGTGTTTGGCAGAAAGAAGAAAAACATATACACTTATGGCTTGAGGATGAGTAAATCATGAGCTAATTTTCCTTTTTGGGTGAATTAACTCTTTAAATCATTATATTAGATGGCAAAACCAAGAAAAGAAGGACAGAACAAGCACATGTTCATGACAAAGATGTGGATGATGAAACAATAGATTGTGTGGCACTTCACATTCATGGTTAGTGTGATGATGAACTGAGAACTGACTTCATACTGTATAAAAACTCAAAGTCGACATTGCACGGACGTTGCCACAGTTTCTTTACTATTGAACTAGTACACGTGAAACAGTTTCTCGTATAAGAACAAATGTGGGGGCGGGGCTTGATTTTGTCAACTGGGAGTTGATTGGATGGTTGCGTTTTGCTATTGGTTGATCTCATGTGAGTGACAGGTTGCCCCGCCCTCACACACCATCAGAGAAGAGAGTTTCCTGAAAGTTATTTTGACTGAAGGTTACGAGAGCAAATGAATTAAAAATAAAAATTAGGCTATGAGCACAGATTAAATAATTTTTAATACTGCAACAGTCCATAAAAAAACGTAAGAATTACGCATATTCATTCCGTGGTAATTTTAAAGCAAAAATGGCTCAGAGGACACTGTTATTATGCGACGATATTCAGTGTCCAGTTCTTCAGCTTCCGATTAATGTCCAAACCAAACCTTGTATGACTCCAAACAGCAGAAAAGGACTGATGTGGCAGCAGGTCTTCAGGGAAGAGCAGGGTTTTATCTGTCAGGGCTCAGAAGGAGCCTCGTGTTTACCTGCTGCTGCCCACGGCGTAGACCAGCTGCCATCTCCAGAAACACCCTCTAATACGCTGCCAACTCCAGTCTGCCTGAATTCTGATCTGCACCTCGGGCTTCAAGTGTGAGAGGAGCAGAACAAAACCCGAGCGTCGCGCAGCCCCCTGGCCTCTCGCACGGGCCCCACTGCTGCATTGTTCCGGCCACAGCAACTATCCCCGATCTGGGCCCAGGAGAGGGGAGGAAAACTCTGCTGACCACCCCTGAAACAGCGCTGAGGAGCCCAGCCGAGGAATATCTGAGGATTCAGGGCTGATAGCTATATAATGAGAACTATCGTTCTGTTTATGCAGTGTTTTGGGTGCAGGGTGGACTCTGATTGGCTGTCAAACTTTTTAGGATGACCTTTAAAGGGATAGTTCACGGTGAAATTAATTTTTGGGTATGTTTTATCTTACCTGAAGGGCATCCAAGATGTAGGTATCTTAGTTTCCACAATAGTTTCAATTTTGATATTTTTAGGTCAAACCGTTCTTGTCTGTCAGTCATATAATGGAGGTCTATGGTCACCACCTCAAAGAGCATGCACAGAGAAGTCCAAATTAAACATGATTTATTGACTCATAAATGTAAGTACACATTGATGGCCTAAGACACGAAACGAGCGGTTTGTGCTCTCGCGTGTGTACGTCACTTATTGTTTACACAGAGATTTCGGAAGTGCTATCCTTCACTGTGAAGATCTAAACACATTTAGATGCAAATGGAAGATGATTTCGATATATCAACAGACAACATTGATTTTTTTTTTCCCGCAACCACGCGAGAGATCACTTCCTGCGCTTTCCAGTGCTTGCGCAGACCTAAGCGCCCGTGCCTTCAGATCACTCGGATGTGGCTGTGGTTACAAGAGGTAAAAACGATATAAATACTGTTCGTTTTCTCACAAAAAACGCTCGTTTCTTGTCTTAAGCCATCAATGTGTACTTACATTTACGAGTCATTAAATCATGTTTAATTTGGACTTCTCTGTGCATGCTCTTTGAGGTGGTGACCATAGACATCCATTATATGACTGACTGACTAGAACGGTTTGACCTAAAAATATAAATCATTTCTAAAGTTAAAGTCCCCCTGTGACGAAAATCAAGTTTTTAATGTTGTTTATGTGCCTATGTGGTGTTTCTAATGTGCTTTAAGACAAATCATGTGCAAAACTCATAAGTTGACAGCATTGCTGAGTATTTTCTCCTTAAAACTGCAGTGAACCAAAGACAGTCTCAAAAACACGCTTTGAAATCGCTGACGTCACTAATCAGATCAACGTGTGATCGACAACAAGTGGATCTCTGAGCTTAGTGAATGAGTGGAGGCGGGGCTCATATTTACTGTGTAAACTAAACGAGGTGTCGAGTTACATACTAACTATTTAAGGCATAAGGCAATTATGTCATTTTGGTGATCAAAGATGAGTTTCAGAGATAAAATTATTGACTACAGGGGGACTTTAAAACTATATCGTTTTAGTTATTGTCCTTGGAGTGATTTCTGCAAACAGCATGTGTGTGTGTGTGTGTGTGATATTAAATCACTCAAATCCAGCAGCTCTTAATTTTATGATCTTCAAAAATAGATATTAAAATATCTAAAGTAGACCTAATGAAATAGGTCAGACATCTTTAACTAATAAAAGACCAATAACATGTAAAATTAACAAGCATTAATAACAAAAACAATAAGTTATTATCATTATTATCAATAAGATATAAGATGGATCATATTTAGACAGCTATACAACCAAATAAGTAACAAATGTGGATCATTCATTTTATATTGAACTACTTTATTGTCTTTCCATTCGAAATCATTTAACACAATTAGACAAAAAAAAAAAAACATTTCCTTTAAAGAAAAAATAATTGTTGCCTAATAATATGCATTTTACGTCAAAACTTGTACAGCATCTCCTGCAAAAACTGTCAGTGCTACATTTATCGATTTCAAAAGTGACAATTCTTGCAGTACTTGCAGTTCACCAGCAGGGGGAGCCACATAACTGCAAGAACAATTCTCCAATTTCACCACAAGATGGAGTTCTTTGAACAGCACTGTATATTAAAGATGCATAAATACACTCTGTATACAGATTAAAGTCCTTCCTCTGCACACCGGAAGGGTTAAAAATAATAAAAATAACTTTGCAAGATGGAATATTCTTATAAAGACAGTGACTTTGGTTTGTCTTGTGTACGACAGTGACTGCCATTGCTATTTCACCCTTAATGTCTCACTTTAAAACCACCAAACTCCTAAAAATACCACTGAGTGTTGTCTAGAATTCAGTATTAAGAACTGCCGTACGACTCCAGAGCGAGTGATGACGGTCCACGCCTGTACACACTGCATGCGAACACCAAAAGCTGCCTCATCTCGAGCCGCGGCCTCTGCAGATGATCATAATGAGTTTGCCACAACTGCTGGAAGACTCCTGTTGTCTCAAAAAGACATTCCTGTTGATCCACCGACATATTCTTTAAAGTCCGCGGACACGTTCAGTAAAGAGCACACCTGTAGAGGTGAGATGGGTTAGGTAGATGTCCTTTTAAACAGATAGTTCACTTTGAAATTAATTGTTGGTATGTTTTATCTTACCTCAAGGGCATCCAAGATGTAGATGTCTTTGTTTCCGCAGTAGTTTCAATTTTGATATTTTTAGGTCAAATCGTTCTAGTCAGTCAGTCATATAATGGAGGTCTATGGTCACCACCTCAAAGAGCATGCACAGAGAAGTCCAAATTAAACATGATTTAATGACTCGTAAATGTAAGTACACATTGATGGCCTAAGACACGAAACGAGCGGTTTGTGTGAGAAAACGAACAGTATTTATATCGTTTTTACCTCTTGTAACATCCAAGTGATCTGAGGGCACGGGCGCTTTGTGTCTTAGGCCATCAATGTGTACTTACATTTACGAGTCATTAAATCATGTTTAATTTGGACTTCTCTGTGCATGCTCTTTGAGGTGGTGACCATAGACCTCCATTATATGACCGACAGACAAGAACGGTTTGACCTAAAAATATCAAAATGAAACTACTTCGGAAACTAAGACACCTACATCTTCATCACCTAAAACTATCCCTTTAATGAATGCAATGTGAAAAAAAAAAAAAAAAAAAATATATATATATATATATATATATATATATATATTTTCCCTTAATTTGAAAAACAAAAAGAAAGTGCGATATGATTAAAGAGATTACCTGTCTAAATTTGGCACGCACTCTTTCCATGTCCTCTTGGAGTTTCTCATACTGAGGGTCTTCGTATGGGAAGTTCTGGATCACTCCGATCAAAGACTCCATAGCTTTCAGCCTTTTTCTAGGAGAAACTCTGAAAGTTAGCAGGCAGAAGAATCATTTGTTTCGTTCCCTTCGTCGTGTCTTGCAGAACATACCTCGCTTTAACATCACTGTCATTTTGAAGGAGACATTTCCAGGCAAGAGCAAATCCGTTATAAAAAGACACCTGGAAAAATAGGACATTTAATGCATTTACCTTTTCACAGTAACAAAAGTTTATCAAAGTTTGCATTCAAATGTGATATATAAAACTTTATTTATTCTGAATCTGTACACACTTTTAATTCAATAGACTTTAACAGTCAAACATTTGAAATAATTAAGATTTTATTCTGCACATCAAGGCTGCATTTACTTGATGATTCAATACAGTAATATTGTGAAATATTAAAATAACTTTCATCAGTGTCACATGATCCTTCAGAAATCAGTCTAATGTGTTGATTTGCTGCTCAATTATTATTGGTTCTTGATTATTAACAAAGGCTGTTATATTATGATCAGTTATCAATTAAAACAGTTCTTATTGCTTGAAAAATGAACAAATCTTTTCCAGTCAACTCGTTCATTTCATTCGTTGAATGAACCAAATGGCATTCGTTCATTTTGATAAACGAGTTTGAACAGGAGAGTCACGAACACGCATCACAGAATCGAGCAAGGCGACCATTTGAGCTTATAAAATTTTTTTTTTTTTTAAATGAGCGATCGTTTCGCTTGATAAGACCGTTATTCTTCGTCTGAAATCGTTTAAAGCCCTTTGAACAGTTTGCACTGAAACTGTCTTTTGGACCTTGAACCGTTTGGTTCCCATTGAAGTCCATTATATGGAGAAAAATCCTGGAATGTTTTCATCAAAAGCCTTAATTTCTTTTCGACTGAAGAAAGAATGACATGGATATCTTGGGTGAGTAAATTATCAGCCAAAGTTTTTTTTTAACTACTCCTATAACATTTGACTGGTAGTATTGTAGATATATATTTTTTTAATTTCTCAATAAATTCCATGAATAACAATAATATGAAGTAAGAAAAGAGACAAAAGAAGTTAAAATCTATATCAATAACAACTGTATTGATGTTAAACGTGTTCGATGAATCACTGATGTCAGCTGCCTGTTCAAAAGCCATTGTAAACACAAGAGAAAACCCCTGACACTGCTTTTCCAGAGGAGTCAGTCAATATGAATACTGAAAAGATGTGAAACCAGTAAAGACATTTATTGCTTACACCCAAAAGGTGATATTTCTTCAATGTAAAGCCACTGAATATGCCATCATGTGTGTATTAGTCCATACTTCACCTCAGCACTGAGTTTGGCTCCGTGCAGCCGCCCGTGGTTTCGACCCTCGATGGTTCCCTGTCGAGTTCCCTCCTCAAACCCTTCCTGATAACCTTCAACATGAAACCTAAGACAAGAGAGCATTTATACACATTTAAAAACATTTACAGTGACAGTCAATGACTGAACTAAACCCACTGACACACTGAACTACTGAGAGAAACGAAGACACCATCACGTGACGCAGCAGCTGTTTCTGTTTATCGTTGGTTTTACCTGTTATCGGCCATGATAATGGGGTCAAATAAATCATCACCATTGGACACAAAAGCCATTTTTTCGATTTGGTTATCAATCCCGAAGTCTTTCCTGACAGAATCTATCTTCTTCTTGGTTCCAGTTGCTCGGATGTTGGTGTTTATGTGACTGAACTACGTTACGGCGCCGTCTTCTGGAAGGGAAGCAAAACTAATCCAAGGTGGGTTCGATATCATATGCTTGATAAAAAATATAAGTGAAAAGTTATAAATTAAAAGTAATAGTATTATAATCCCATAATGAGAATGAACTGTTGATGTTTTAATTAGCAATTTGAGTTCTTCAATTCAATGTTTTTTTTGGGACATGCTAGCATGCTAGTCCGCTCGCTCAGGAAATCAGTTGAGGAAACATAATTTTATGGAAGATATACAATATGTGGCCTCATATTTAACTGTATTAATTATGGGATATTGTATAGGCCTACTGTATATCTGAAACCACTGTGAAAATGATTACAGCGTATTTAAGCACTGCCACTTAATATGCATGCCAAATGCAGGGCCTAAAACTAACTTTTTGAAAGGCCGGTGACTTAAATATTTATTACCGACCATGAAACATGAAAAGTCACAATTCTCTATTTCAGTTTCTATACCACAGCCTAGTTTGAAACATTATTAAAAAGAAATAAACAGTAACAGCACAAATAGGCTACAAGAGAACTGAAATATGGTCTAACAGTAGTTTTCAGTGCAGACATTTAATAAAGTAGGCTAATCAAATGTAATGTAACATTGCTTAATCTTCACACTGTATATTTAACATAATGCTTATTAAAGTTTAAAAAGTTATTCAGACAAGAGCAGTGAGTGATTTCTTTTTTTCTGTTGTTGTTTGATTAACATTAAGGACACAGTGCAGGATTATAAAGATGCAGTTATTATTAGGATGTTTGCAGTGTGTGAGTGTCGAATTTTGTTCCCTTTAGTGTCTTATTGCACTTGTATATTTAAGGCAAAGCTTAAACTTTTGTGATGATGCAGCACTGGCCCAACAACTGTTCCATGCATCCCCATCCAATTAGCAATTTACATCTTTTCATATATTCGTTGGCTAGTGTTCATTTTAGGCCCTGTGCACATCGATACATTAAAATATTTGAAAACAATCAAGAGTATAAAATATGTCAGCATATTTCACTTAAATTTAGGCATCTATTTGTGCATGTTCAAATGAGCTCAGCAAAGTCAGCATTGCTCCTAGTCTACAACAATTAATTGAGGAAAATGTGAATTATTTCGGCATTTTCTTTTATTTTGTTTGTAGATAGATAATGACATTAGTCTACATGACTAACAAAAAAAAATCACATGTTCTGGTAAGTATGTTAGCAGTACAGCAAAAGTTAAAAACACAAAAAAACTACTTAGGTTACCCACAATAAAAAAATATAGAAGCATTTACTTCTAAAACAATTCAAGTCATTAATACATGTAGTATGTACTACATAGTGATAAGCAAAGCCATCATCATGCCATCATTTCCTCACCCTTTTGTTGTTTCAAACCTATACGTTTCTTTCCTGTGTGTAACATAAAAGAATATATTTTGAAAAATGTCGGTAACCAAACAGTTGTTCGTCCCAATTGACTTCCATTGAATGGGAAAGACTATGGAAGTCAATGGGGTCCAACAACTATTTGGTTACCGACATTCTTTAAAACATCTTCTTTTATGTTAATCAGAAGAAAGAAACTTGTACAGGTTTGGAACAACATGAGGTGAGTAAATGATGACAAAATGTTAATTTTATGGTGAACTAATAACACTTATAGCCTACGCCATAATCTCAAAATGCAAATGACTTCTTTGCCAGTAGAGGGAGCCACAACTTTATAAAAATTTTCCTGTGAATATTGAACTGTTGTTCAAGAGCATCATGCAAGGACGTGGGAATATCTTCTACTGTTTCTCAGGGCCACAAATCTTTAAAATATTCATCAGTATTTTATGGAAGTAGCCTGCCTTGGAATATCATGCAGTCTCAACTGTATCAAGAAAAAAATATACATTTTCAGTCTTGCTAATGAAAGAGGAAGAGATGAAGCTTATATTTAATAATTCAAAACGTCTGTCTTAGTATGAGAACCATTTAACCACGTTTAGCATATAAGCAATTAGATTTCAAAGTAATTTAGGCTATATGACCATTGCAGAATGTCATCTTTCAGAATAAAAAAGGAATACAAAATATATAAAATATGTTTTACAGTGCATGTGTTAACTATAAAATTTTAAACAATAATTAGAGAGCAAAGTCATCACAAACAAAACTAGAAAAATAAATACAAAATTTTGCACCATTCACATATGGAGTGATATTCTTGTTGTTTGTGTGCCGATCACACTTAATCCGTCTCTAAAGCACGTAGTGTGTTTATCGTGCAATTTATACGCGAAAATGAGTTTGTAAGTGCAATAGGATATGCATGGGTTGGTTAGGGTAGGTTTAGTAGTGGTGTGGGGTGCGTGTGTATTACCAACACGTTCTCATCCCAAGGCGTCATATAACTGACGCCTTGGGAAGCATTTTGACCATGCTTCAATATCCGACGCTTTAGGCACCCTTTAGCGTCAGTGAGATGACGCCCTAGGATCGCGTATTAACCAACCCGATCTCACGACCAAGTCGTACGAATTCGACGAACGATGAAAAAGTGGCTAAATCGTAACAATTCATACGACCTCACTCATACGAATTAGTACGATTTTGCTAAAGCGTACATATTTTACGAATTGGCCAACTCGTATGAATTCATACGAATGACCTACCCCTTACCCCGCCCCTAAACCTAACCATCACGTGGGTTTAGACAAATCGTACAAATTCGTACGAGTGAGGTCGTACGAATTAGACACTTTTTAATCATTCGTCGAATTCGTACAAATTGGTCGTGAGATAGTGTTGTATTAACCCTACTCCAGACCAAAACCTAGGCTACCCGCGTCATCTAACTGGCGCTAAAGGTAAAGCGTCAGTTAGATGACGCCCTGGGATCGTATATTATCCAACCCGATCTCACGACCAAGTCGTACGAATTCGACGAATGATGAAAAAGTGGCTAAATTCATACGACCTCACTCATACGAATTAGTACGATTTTGCTAAATCGTACATATTTTACGAATTGGCCAACTCGTATGAATTCATACGAATGACCTACCCCTTACCCCGCCCCTAAACCTAACCATCACGTGGGTTTAGACAAATCGTACAAATTCGTACGAGTGAGGTCGTACGAATTAGACACTTTTTAATCATTCGTCGAATTCGTACGAATTGGTCGTGAGATAGTGTTGTATTAACCCTACCCCAGACCAAAACCTAGGCTACCCGCGTCATCTAACTGATGCTAAAGGTAAAGCGTCAGTTAGATGACGCCCTGGGATCGCATATTATCCAACCCGATCTCACGACCAAGTCGTACGAATTCGACGAACGATGAAAAAGTGGCTAAATCGTAACAATTCATACGACCTCACTCATACGAATTAGTACGATACATATTAGCCTCACTCATACGAATTAGTACGATTTTGCTAAATCGTACATATTTTATGAATTGGCCAACTCGTATGAATTCATACGATTGACCTACCCCTTACCCCACCCTTAAACCTAACCATCACGTGGGTTTAGACAAATCGTACAAATTCGTACGAGTGAGGTCGTACGAATTAGACACTTTTTAATCATTCGTCGAATTCGTACGAATTGGTCGTGAGATAGTGTTGTATTAACCCTACTCCAGACCAAAACCTAGGCTACCCGCGTCATCTAACTGACGCTAAAGGTAAAGCGTCAGTTAGATGACGCCCTGGGATCGCGTATTAACCAACCCGATCTCACGACCAAGTCGTACAAATTCGACGAATGATGAAAAAGTGGCTAAATCGTAACAATGCATACGACCTCACTCATACGAATTAGTACGATTTTGCTAAATCGTACATATTTTACGAATTGGCCAACTCGTATGAATTCATACGATTGACCTACCCCTTACCCCACACTTAAACCTAACCATCACGTGGGTTTAGACAAATCGTACAAATTCGTACGAGTGAGGTCGTACGAATTAGACACTTTTTAATCATTCGTCGAATTCGTACGAATTGGTCGTGAGATAGTGTTGTATTAACCCTACCCCAGACCAAAACCTAGGCTACCTGCGTCATCTAACTGACGCTAAAGGTAAAGCGTCAGTTAGATGACGCCCTGGGATCGCGTATTAACCAACCCGATCTCACGACCAAGTCGTACGAATTCGACGAATGATGAAAAAGTGGCTAAATCGTAACAATGCATACGACCTCACTCATACGAATTAGTACGATTTTGCTAAATCGTACATATTTTACGAATTGGCCAACTCGTATGAATTCATACGAATGACCTACCCCTTACCCCGCCCCTAAACCTAACCATCACGTGGGTTCAGACAAATCTTACAAATTCGTACGAGTGAGGTCGTACGAATTGGACACTTTTTAATCATTCGTCGAATTCGTACGAATCGGTCCTGAGATAGTGTTGTATTAACCCTACCTAGGCTAGACTACCCGCGTCGTCTAACTGGCGCTAAAGGTAAAGCGTCAGTTAGATGACGCCCTAAAAACTCATTTTCGCGTATAAATTGCACGATAATACACAATGCATGCCTTTAACACAGTGTCCAGTGTGCAGTTTTCTTCTCTTTCTGAGAGTCCGGCGCTGTGCTCATTCTTCTTCTCGACCTCGGGGTCGTTTCCTTAGAACATCCACAAGAGATTGTTCACTCCTCATCTTTTGTTGAAACTGGGACTCTGGATCACAATCTGAGAGATCTTTCCAAAAGGGTCCATACTGTCTATCTGAAGACCTAACTGATGGTCCTGTCCGGGGCCGGCGGGAGAGCGCTGTTCCCCTGAGTGGCGTTCGGTGGGTCCCTGGGAAAGTGTGTTCACCATGGGCAGAAACTGGGATGTTGCGGTCCTGTCGTTACTGTGCCGCTTAGGCAAATTCACAAGGACTCCATAGTTGCACGACATGTAGATGTTGTAGCCGTTTGGAAGGATGCGTTCCACAAAAGAGCAGTCCTCCTTGGAGTAAGTGTGCTGGCAAACAGAAGAAACGGCAAAAACATGAAAACCGAACACTTTTTTTGTGCATAGAATCACAATATGGATGTGTCATGGTGTTTTAAGGTTTATTGAAAGCTGTTTGCACCACATGGAGAGGCCAAGGTTGTTATTGCTGTTTCTTTTCAATGAGGTTTTAGCTATGCAAACATACCCTGCCACGGGCAAAGGTTGCTGTAATGACACCACTTAAATCAGCCTATCTGGACAGAATCATTTTTTGTATGTTCTGGTCAATCAAGTAAAGCACTCAAACCATACTTTGCTCTATTTATAATTTGTGATCATTTTGGCTGTATTGCACATTTCAGTTCAGTATTTAAAGGGATAGCTCACTTCGAAATTAATTTTTGGTATGTTTTAGCTTACCTCAAGGGCATCCAAGATGTAGGTGTCTTTGTTTACACTGTAGTTTCGATTTTTCTGTCTGTCAGTCATATAATGCAGGTCTATGGTCACCACCTCAAAGAGCATGAACAGAGAAGTCTAAATTAAACATGATTTAATGACTCATAAATGGAAGTACACATTGATGGCCTAAGACACGAAACGAGCGGTTTGTGTGAGAAAACGAACAGTATTTATATCGTTTTTACCTCTTGTAGGCGCTTTGTGGCCACAGCCACAAAAACGATATAAACCCTTGTTTCGTGTCTTTAGGCCATCAATGTGTACTTACATTTACGAGTCATTAAATCATGTTTAATTTGGACTTCTCTGTGCATGCTCTTTGAGGTGGTGACCATAGACCTCCATTAAATGACTGACTGACAAGAACGGTTTGACCTAAAAATATCAAAAATTGAAACTACTGCGGAATGAAAGACACCTACATCTTTGATGCCCTTGAGGTAAGATAAAACATATCAAAACTTAATTTCAAAGTGAACTATCCCTTTAATCTTGGACATAACCAAGATATTTACTCTTAACTCATATTAATTTTGGAGTTTGGCTATGATGACTATATGCATTGATGGTCCTGCCCTATAGTGTTTTAACGTCAGATGGGAGGAATGACCCATGACCAGAACGTAATGTCAACAGAGCTTATGTCTGTGGCGAAATCGACTTCCTCAGTCATAGAGGACATCGCAAGGTGACCTTAGCACAACAAGGTTATCTGTCTCTGACGAATATGTGTAGTTTTATTATGAGTGGTGGCAGAGTGCCAATGTGTTACTCTCTAAGAATAAAATTATTGCAATATGCTCATCACTGTTAAAAGGAGACAGTCTAAAAACATAACCTCAGTCGACCTCTGTCTGCACTGTTTTTGAAATAGTGTATATGTGGTCCGGAATCAAAATTGTGAACTCTGAAGCAATTTTGTGAAGGAAATTGTAAAATTTCTTTTATATAGGCCTAGCTTCCAAGATCGCTATTCTGTAAGTGCGCAAGTGTGTCAAAAACAAAGCCAAATCAGCAACCTTAGGGCAGGTTCACATACAGTTTAAAAGCTGAACTTGTTTGCGTGTAATGCTCAAGATGCTGCAAAGGCTCAATGGTTAAATGTGTCCGTCTAGCGCATGTTTGATGGAAAACACTGGAAGCAGAACGGCGCCTAAAGCCGCCAGTGTTCAAATAGCTTGTTCAATAGATATTCTAAATAGAACTGGTAAGCGTACTTTTTAAGAATGCACATCTTTATTATTATACATCTTTGTGATTGTCAGACCTACCGATCCATAGAGTTTCCCTCTTCTGTCCATGCAGAGAAATCGGGAGCTTGCAACTCCTTTAATGGCAACACTGCCTGTGTCCACCGGACTTATCTCAACCAAACCTTTTGGAAACAAAGTACAAATTTAATAGATTGCAATAAAAGTAAGAAGCATATATATATATATATATATATATATATATATATATATATATATATATGCTGAAAATCTGATTTTACACATTACTGGTCACCTCACAGATATTTGTCATGAATAGGCTGACATGAATTGAAGTTGCAGTTGCAATGGTGATTTGGTGACTTGTTGCAAAAACGATTATATATATTTTTTTTAATATAATGCATGACATGACATCCGGCAGTGACTTTTTTTTTTTTGCCTAAAAAAATAATAAATGCAATTCATAGAAAGAAATTACTCTTTTCTATGACTAAAACTCCAGTCATTTGGATGTTTTTGTTTAAAGTTTAAAGTAAAACGTGTGCAGATGAAATAAAGAAACAAATCGTACTGCATGGCAGAAAATAAATGTGTTTTTAATATCACATACATTACATACATTTTGTTTAGGTTAAATTGACTAACCCTAAAAGATCACATTGAATATAATACAGTTCATTAGATATAACTTACTGTAAAAAAAACAAAGTTGCTGCCTTAAATTTTTAAGTATCAACTTGGATGTTTGAGACATTTCAACTTAAATTACGTTTAAACTTTAATTTTGTATAACTCTTTCAAAAGTTGAAATTGCTTAACTTATTTTGATGATTTAAGGCAATGTAATAACATGTTGCCATAACTTTATATATATACTTCTTTTTTTGCAGTGTAGGCTACAACTAATATTTAATATACTGTGTACATTGAAAAAAAAAAGTGTTTTTTTTATGTGATGGTTGCACCACTTGACATTTCGAACTATGTAGCATGTTTTTTTTTGTTTTGTTTTTCTTGTTTTTTTTTTATGATGGAAATCAACTAAAGAAATGAACGCACGTGTTTTAAATAGTGTTTTTAGAAAGAGTTCTCCACTTTATCATCTCGGACATCCTCATGTGTGATTGACCCATTTAGCGCCTGCGTGAAGCGTCATGATCTGCATGCTGTGACTTACTGTCCGAGCTCTGCGAGCGCGATCCGCTGATGTCTCCGTCTGTGTGTATCTGCAGATGTAGACCACGCCGGGCCGCGTACAGATGTCGCAGCCGGACCGCTTCCCCCCAGTCATTCGCCAGATGCGGGCCAGAGTCGGGCAACGGGAGGCTCTCCACGCCGATGCTGCTTCCACACACAGTGACAACGAGTAAGAGGAGCATTATTAAGAGTTATCTGCAATAGTCTTGTTCTGCATATGAAGCCTGCACACTCTATCTCCTTTGTATTGTTCTGTTTTGGCGCAATGCACTGCGACTGGCCTTTAAATTGTCCTCTTATCAGATCGATCGATAAGCATTTCCCCTCTTTGGCAGTTCTGAGAACAGGGTAACACACCCCGCTGGACATCCAACACACGATGAAGACTGAATAAATCAGCAAAATGCACCATGTTATTGTTTTATGATGATACATCTTTAATGCATTGATTTAAAATAATGAAAGGGTGCAAAAGTTAGTGTGCAAAAGAGTTGTAAAACTGCGTTTGATGAAAAATTATATCTTATCTTTAAAACACAAAACGTTTAACAATATTAACATGTTTATATGAAAGTTAACAACATTGGTTAAGGACTGTTTGTTGACATGTTTTTGAATCTTTTCACTTGTGAAAATGGACTTGGTTAGGCTATCAATGGCTAATCGACCATCTTTGTTAATTTTTATTTTTTTAAAAAACATTCTAGCATTTTCCACATAGCATAGCCTAATGACTAAACGTGAAATTGCAAGTGAAAATTAAATAATTTATAGAAATAGAACTGTTTCGACGGATCATTTGGATCAATTTATTTATTCTGGATCTATTCATTAATAATATTTTGAAATAAAATCGCTTCACTGCTTATTTTTTATTTATGCTAAATGTAGCCTAATTAATTTAATGGGCCGTTTTTCTTTGACAAGCCCCACAAAATACCAAAAGTGCATGGTCTATTTTAATAAATTTGGTATATGATCTGCATTTTCAACATTTTCACTAATCCGATGAAGGTGGAAATGAGCACCAGTTATGCCAGTTACCCATCTTAAAATCGGGGGGAAAAACACGTGAAACTCTTTAACTTTATACGGTAAGTATACACCGTATAAAGCATTAGCCAACTATATAGGCTATATTTTTTAGTTATTAATTTGTATTTTTACATATTGTGTTTTGTGAATTGCAGTGAAGCTTAGTAGGCTAGTCCCTGTCTTTAAAAACGTGATCTTGCATAAAATATCTAGGCCGAAAGGAGCAGATTTCAAATTATGTTCCGGCTCCCTCTTAATCATAAGTCTTTATGCGACAAAAATCGTTTTGAAATTTTTTCTAAAATTCGAAATTAGAACGTTGCAGGGTTTCAATTCAAATTCGCTGTTGTGATCGCTAGGTGGCGCTGTGTGATCGCTGCACTTTGCCAATTTTATTCTCATTGATAAAAATATACGTTCAGTTTAAACGTTTAATTCATTGTCAATTAAGATTTCACTGATGTCAGCAGAGCTTGTGTTCAACGCATACAATTGTTTAAGTGTAAATGATGGATGTTACAACTTATATTATATTTTAAAACGTTAATAGCAAGCAAAACCTAAACAAAGAGTGTATATGAAGAGTTCAGATGCAAAAGCCTCTAAATGCCATTTAAGATTTTCTTCTTTAATGATGATTTTTATCAAACTTATATATTTAAGTTCAGTAATTTCACTTAAATAACAATTAATAGGTAATTATCATTGCCATTTAAGTGAAATTACTGAACTTAAATATACAAGTTTGATAAAAATCATCATTAAAGAAGAAAATCTTAAATGGCATTTAGAGGCTTTTGCATCTGAACTCTTCATATATAACACTAAGTAATACATTAATGAATGCTGCTTTTGACTCACAGTTACCCTTAGAATGCATTATCTCATAAGTTTTGTGACAGATTTATTCATTATTATTATATTCAGTGATGTCACATCACTTAGAAAGCTTGGCTTTGTGCTGGATGTAAATCTGAATGCTGACCTATACTGTCATCAGGAGCACTGTAAATCACACACAGCCATAATCTAATGATCACACTTTTATTCATGAAAGATGCCAGTTCCAACCAAACCCACTGAACATTATGCATATCCGATTACGTGATCCAGAGCCAATAGATCCGAGGTCCTTATCTGGGTGTATTTTGAAATGCTTCCACATTGAAACAAGCAAACAGGGATGTGAAATCGTGACAGCAGTAGCTTGTTGAATGGGGTCGGAGCCGCAACCGTGTGGGCGAGTGCTTCGACATATACAGTCTCAGATCGAGGACTTTTCCCGGTCCAATTCCGCTCTCTCATCTCCTATGATCTCCTGTCTGTCCAGCAAAAGGCAAAAAGCCTAAAAATAGCTATAAAAGTATTTCGGGTCGATCACGGATATGTTATTCTTAATTCTTCACATGAGTGAAGTTGTGCATTGGAGTATTTTGAGCTACGGGGGGAGATCCCCTGTAAAGTAAACAAGGATAATCACATGTAGTGTTTACTTTTTGGGTCGATACTGTTTTATGACGCACAGAAGAGTAAAATACATAATGCCAGTGGTTTACACAGAGTAGTTTGACCCCTTTCGTTTCAACTGCCCCTGTTATTGAAGTGAAAGCTCACCTAGAAAATAACAGTTAATGACAGCTGAATGAAAACCTCACAAACACAAATTCCAACGCATTCTCATCCCCAGGCGTCATATACGACGCTTTTGCCGAAGCGATCCAACGCATCCAACTTTAGCGTCAAATGAGACGCTTCGGTAATGGTAAGTTTAGGGTTAGGGTTAGACCACTAGGAGGCGCCTTCTGCCCCATATATATCTGCGTCTCATTTGACGCCAAAGGGTGCCATGTGCGTTGATTGTGTACGCTTTGGCATAAGCGTCGGGTGAGCCAAAACATTGTGACTAGTCACAGGTGAAGAAAATAAGGATTCCTGTTTGAAGCAACAGAACCTCTACTGTGGCACAAGATGGTTATCAAACACAGTGCATCTCACTCTGGTGTGTATGAGGTTCTGTAGACCAATCAGAGTGATTATGATGACCCCCGTCCACCACTGGAAGAGCCTATGAGCATCAGAACTGAAGCGGTGGAAGAAGGTCCGATGAGTCCCGTTTACATCTGTGTGTTGTGATGCACCAGGATCACTGAGGGAGTGTGAAGCTCTGAGCGTGTTCTGGATATTTTACACGTGTCCCTGAGTATTGTAGCAGAGCAGGAACAGCTCTTCATGATAATGCTGGAAGTGGCTCTTTCAGCAGGATAAGGAAACATCATGAAGAGTTCAACCTCCAAATTAGCCAGATCTCAGGACCGTCAAGTTTGATCCACTTCGCATAACCGACAGAACTTGAAGGATCTTCTTCTGACGTCTTGGTGCCAGAAACCACAGAGACCACAGGACGCCTTCGGGACTCTTTATGGTTTGGCAGCATCAGGAGGACCAACACCATATTAGACTGGTGTCATACGTGTATCGGTATATATAAATCGGTTTGATGCCTTTGACATTCTTGTTGTCAGTGAAATGTATTGGTAGTCAAGAACACATTATGAATATAAACTCTAACAATCCCCAAAGGTCTATAACACTGCTACAATACAGTGACTATGTAAATTTAAAAATGACATTTAAAGGAGTTGTTCACTTTAAAAAAAAAAAAAAAAAAACTTTTGCTGATAATTTACTCACCCCCATGTCATCCAAGATGTCCATGTCTTTCTTTCTTCAGTCGAAAAGAAATTAAGGTTTTTGATGAAAACATTCCAGGATTTTCTCCTTATAATGGACTTCAATGGGAACCAAACGGTTCAAGGTCCAAAAGAGAGTTTCAGTGCAGCTTCAGAGGGCTTTAAACGACTCCAGACTCTAGGACCCTTCGAGTCATGTCTCGAAAAAAGATTTGTTCATTTTGATGAACGAGTTTGAACAGGAGAGTCATGAACGCGCATCACAGAACAGAGCAAGGTGAGCATTTGTGCTTATAAAACTTATACTTTTTTATTTATTTTTTAAATGAGCGATCGTTTCGCTTGATAAGTTTAAAGCCCTCTGAAGCTGCACTGAAACTGTCTTTTGGACCTTGTACCGTTTGGTTCCCAATGAAGTCCATTATATGGAGAAAATCCTGAAATGTTTTCATCAAAAACCTTAATTTCTGTTCGACTGAAGAATCTTGGATGACATGGGGGTGAGAATATTATCAGCAAAAGTTTTTTATAAAAGTGAACTACTCCTTTAAGTGGAGGCTTACAGTGCTAAAGGTGTGCAACACGTATTATGTAACTCAGGAGGTTTGACTTTAGTCTTGTTTGTTTAAAGTGTGATACAACCATGTTGTATGGAACTAGTATGTACAATTTTTAAAGCCAATATTATGCAATTATCACTTTTTAAATTAAAATATTAAAAATTTCCATGATGCTAGATATTACATTATTTTGAATTATTGAGTCTCTTTAAAAAAAAGGGCAAAACTGTGTTGCCATTGCAGGTAAAACACCCTCAGATATGTAAAATACACACAGTTTCACTCTCTTTTGGGTCATACATGGAAATAGTTTGAGATGTTTCAGTAACATATTTGTGTGATGGATATACCCATGCAAAACACAAAGATTACGATTTGTGCACGCAATAAACTCACTTAACATCAGGTAACATGTATGCTACACTAATATCTGACATTGCATATTTGTTTCAATTTCAACATTACAAGAAGTAATTCTGTTTTGAGGCCACTTATGTGTAATGTGTTGCCCTCTTGTGGAAACCTCAAAGCTTTGCTTGCAAAATAGACTTATTAAAGGGATAGTTCACTTTGAAATTAATATTTGGTATGTTTTGTCTTACCTCAAGGGCAACCAAGATGTAGGTGTCTTTGTTTCTGCAGTAGTTTCAATTTTGATATTTTTAGGTCAAACCGTTCTTGTCGGTCAGTCATATAATGGTGGTCTATGGTCACCACCTTAAAGAGCATGCACAGAGAAGTCCAAAGTAAACATGATTTAATGACTCGTAAATGTAAGCACACATTGATGGCCTAAGACATGAAACGAGCGGTTTGTGTGAGAAAACGAACAGTATTTATATAGTTTTTACCTCTTGTAACCACAGCCACGTCCGCGATCTTTCACGCGGTTGCATAAAAAAATTCAGCGTTGTCTGTTGATGTATCGAAATCGTCTTCTATTGCGATTTCCTGTACATCTAAATATGTT